TAATTGAAGTGGTTGCTGCTGAATCTACATTGTGTGGAAATCCTGTGTTGTGTCCACCCACTGTGCGCCCAGCAATCATGGTGTTGAAGCCCAGTCTGTAAGTAGATGCTTCATTTTATCCTCTGAGAAATGTAAAGTCAAAGAAAATCATCCACAGGAGCCACACGTGGTACATTCTGTGTTCACTACGAGGGGCAATGCAACTTTCTTTCTGCATAGCAGGCTGGTGCACATGTATTGTTGTATTCATAGTACTGTGTCCATTTTCCACTTTCAAAGTCTACATCAGTTATGCACAAACCATCCACTGGCCTTAATTGTTATCTCAGATTTGTTGTTGAGATATAACAGAATCTTAACTGAACCATTCCAAATATAATTCTGGCTGGGCAAGTCGTGCAGAATATGATTACTTACTATCACATTGTAGTAATTGAAAAAATGATTGCTTCACTTACTACTCATTAACAAAAGTAACATGTAGTTTAGTTGTAGTTAAGCATATATGTTACAATTGGGATTTTCAGAATAAGGGGTATTTTCTTCCATCCAACCACCCTTACCACTATCCACATACACCTACTTTTACACACTGGACAAGCACTTGACCTAAAATTTCAGTGCAACAGGGACTGGATTAACTACTTCCAGACCCGGTCCTGACCTTCCCAGAGGCCTTCAACAAAATTCTGTTGAGGGTCCACCCCAGCTTGAGCCATATAGACCATTGCCACAGTCACATCTGACATCCCAGTGCTCCCACTGCAGTTCATTAACACTGTTACCTGTTGAAGTTTAGCTAATATAATACATAATTGTGATTCACTGGCACTTTTGCCAGTCCTGTTATTTGCTGACATCAAACTCTGACAGGAGAAAACACCAGTCTATCTGACTGGCGTTCCTGCAGTTCACTGTCATGACCAGAAGGACAGTTCTGGTTCATCCTCTCACTGAAGTTGTAAACATCAACACCTGTTTAACACACAGTTTAACACCTGATTTGTGGGGCACAATGCAACTTGCTTAGTGAGTGTGTTGGGCTGTGTGTGCTGTCACTTCTCTTTACTGGAAGGGGATGTAACAAACACATTAAATAGACCAGAGGGTTATGTCTGCTGTCAATGGAATATATCATCAACCTTTTTTAAACGCATAAACAAGTAAATAATTGGTATTCAGTCTAACTACAGCTAAGTCTGCAACACAGCAAACTAATTATTAATGATCTTGCACTGAGTGTTACTCTGATATATCACCTTGGTGATTTCTTTCCATCGGACATCAGTCACTGACATACAAAGCAGTCTGACTCACTAGAAAAACACCATATATGACATAAGCCTGTGGGTAAATTTAGCTTCTGTAATTATAGTTTGATATTACAGAATTGCAATTTATTGATTATACTAATGTTTCAGCCCCTCTGGACTTTTGTCAAGAATTACACTTTTGGCCCTTCTGAGCCCTGGTCATTAGTCTGATCAATAAATTGTGATGCTGAGCAAGGACAGTGTCCAGGATCTTCATTTCCTGAGACTAAAGTGATACCCTCCAACTCACTTGCATCTGACATGCAGTAGCTGTATGTGTAAATAGCTCCTTTAAGAAAGTATAATACAACTATAATAAAGTTATCACAATTCTGGTTATCCTGAGAGTTTTAGTGTCCTACATTTAGTGAATTAAACTCCTGGAGATATAGTCATCGCTCTGGGTGACATGTTCCTCAATTAACATAAACATGAGCGCTGGATTCCAAAATACTCACCAGAGTAACATATGCATATTATTCCAGTGTTGAAAATATTCCTCAAACAGATGTACTGGTTTAAAAATAATGAACCCAATCATGTAAGCTGTTTTGAAAGATTTATGTGTTCAGTAAGAACCAGTGTACTTGGAACTGGGTGCCACAGCCAGGAATTTCACAAAGCAATGAAATATCGACTAATATAATGTTGGTTTTTGTGTTTTCACTGATGTGCTTATCAGGAAAATGTTGATAAGGCCAGCCATATCTTTTAAAAGAAAGTGGCACATTGAATAGACATTTTCTTTTATTTGAAAACAATTTTGTCTATAGCTGTTTTGGCAGCCAAAGAACATTTTGGACGTCTCAGGAACTGGTTGGTTTTTGGCACTCT